CTTTGCTCAACACAATTTCTCCTTCTCGTGACAACCGACTGCACTCACCACACCATTCAACCAACTTTAAAGCAACAGGAACGTGGGCTGGGCGATAGCTCGGCGGTCGAAGCTCCTGGCTGGCAAACGCAAGGACCGGAGTTCAATCCCTGTTCCTCATGCTGTGCCAGCCACCAAAATTGGGCATCATGGCGCACACCCTAACCCCAGTGCCGGGGAGGCTGAGACAGGAAGGTCACTACAAGTCCGAGCCACACAGCGAGACCCTGTACCAAATCAATCAATAAATAAAAGAAAAATACCCAATAGGAATGTGGCAAATGCGCCTTCAGGGTCCTGGAAATGTAACAGTAGTCCAATCTGTGACAATGTCTTGGATAGATGGCATCCAGGAAGACAGTGCAGATTAGAACTCTGTGTCACTAAGAGGAAAGCCAGGTGTGGTGGTGCACGCCTGTCATCCCAGCCTTTGGGAGGCTGAGGCAGGAGGATCACTGTGAGTATGATGGCAGCTTGGGCTCCTCCATGAGTTCAAGGCCAGCCTGGACTATATAACAAGACTGTCTCAAAATAAAACCTAATAATAAAAATAGCAAATAACAGCAATAAGTACAGTAGCAAAGGGGAAGCTTACCACGCACTGCGCAGCGATGAGTGCCGCCAGCGTGCTCCTGCCCGGCGCCCCCGGGGCACAGAAGGACACCTGGATGGCGCTGCCCCCGATGCTCAGGCCAGCGGCTGCCTGCTGGGCCTCCTCGGCGTGCTCAGGGCTGCTGTATTCCACCACCGCGAAGCCCCCTGCACAGTGTCCTTCATCCTGGGCCAGCTGACAGGACACGGCTGTTACCAGGGCATTCTCACACTGACAGACACCGACAAGAACCAACCTCCACACTCAAGAGCGAGAAGCAGAGCACAGGCGGGTGACCCTCATGTGCTCTCTCTACAGAAGGGATGCTTGGTGTCGCACAGCCGCAATCCTCCCGAAAGCAGGAAGTCAAACAAGCGTCTGTTGATTTTTTTGTGGGGGAAGGACAGGGTCTCACTATGCAGTCCAGGCTGACCCTGAACTCAGCGATCCTCCTGCCTCAGCCTCCAGCAAGAGCGGGAGGAGGAGCCATTTTCAACTCTTCTCTAGGTATTTTGGCAGAGCTCAGGGATCAGGTCAGGAATACTGAGTGGCCTCTCTCAGAGAAGCGCGCCCCGGCTGCGAGAGAACAGCTACTCCTCCGAATGTGGCCGAGGCAGGCTGTTTGCCTGCGGGACCCAGCTGCAAAGCCACGGTGGCCTGAAGGGGCCAGCTGGCGCATGGGAGGCCGCCCTACAGGTGGGGGTTACAAAGGTGATGGCTTCTTTTATTTACTTTCGCGCCACTGGGGACTGTATCCAGGGCCTTTCCAGCGAGCTACATCCCAGCCCTTTCCATTTTTTTACTTTGAGACAGGGTCTAAGTTGCTCAGATTGGGCCTGAATTTGCAACCCTCCTGCCTCAGCCTTTCAGAGTGTTGGGGTTACAGGAGTGCGCTACCACATCCTGCTGGTTTCATTCTTATTTATTTTGGCGGAACCGGGGATTGAACTCAGACCCTTGAGCTTGCCAGGGAAGCGCTTATTCTACTGAGCCATCTCCCCGGCCCCTCATTGATTTTTAAAAATTTAACTTTTCTTATACTTTCTAATATTTGAACCAATTTTCCATTTTTCCTTCATCTTCTTTTTCCCTTTGAAAACTGTGCTCAGATACCTTTTTCGCCATGAAACTTCCCAGTTCCGCAGAGAGCAGGGAGGGAACGCCTCAATTGGTTGGCATGCAGAGACCCACCGAGAGGGGGTGCACTAACATCGTCTTAATCTTTTGCAAACTAAAAATACCACTTACTGTTCCTGTTTGATTATGCTGACCTTCATTCCTTAACAAATAATATCATTTTACCTATTTCAAAAGGTAGGAGCACTTTAAAACCATAGCACCCGTATTTTTAGTGAGAAATTTGTTTCATCCCGGAGCCTCTGCAAACCGCATGATCTGACGGAGTCTAGTTACTGCCCCATCCATTGTTTGGGGTACTTTAGGAGAAGCTAAGTGGGCCCCTCAAAACACAGCAAACGGGGGAGGCTGAGGAAATAGTTCAGTAGAATAAGCGCTTGCCTGGCAAGTGCAAGGGCCTGAGTTCAAACCCCGGTTCTGCAAAAAACCCCAAAAACAACAACAACAAAAAAACCACAGCAAATGGATCTTGTCACCGTGCCGCCAGCTGGGTGGTCATGAGCTTCCTGGGGTTCTGGGACTTCTGAGTCAGTGCAGGGCATGGGGAAGGGACCTTCCTTTCCTCGGCCAGGCTTGGCTCTGCGGCCTGACAATCACTGTGGAACCCTGAGGGCAGTGGCCACGTGCTCCCACCGGCCACGCTGCATTTGACAGGAGCCATGGCAAAGTATTTAACTCTATAGAGCTCCTGGAGGTTTCTTTGCTGTTTATTATATTGCATTTGAAGGTTTAAGAAGGTGACAGACGGGCTGGGGAGATAGCTCAGTGGAATAAGTGCTTGCCTGGCAAGCACAAGGGCCTGAGTTCAATCTCCAGTTCTGAAAAAAAAAAAAAAAAAAGAAGAAGAAGAAGGTGACAGGCAACAACAGTCATCAGACTCTGGAACTTGGATCTGAAGTAAGTCTCCCAAGGGCACAGCGGCCTCACTGGTGGTCACCAGAGGGGAAGCGGAGTTGACCTGAGAGATGTTGGTCAAAGGACACAAAATATCAGAGACACAGGAAGAGTAAGCTCAGGCGATGGACAGCACCACGTGGCGAAGGGCGTCTCCCCAAATACTCACGCTGAGAGACATTTGGACAGAAGCTGCTGCTCTGCCTGCAGCCACTGCATCCCGCACTGCCAGGTCCCCCATTCTGCCCATGCACACTCTGGGAGCCGCGCATGGGCTGGGCCATGGCTAGCGGGTAGAGCTCTGGCTCTGTATGTACGAGGCCCTGGTTCAAAACAAGAACCACTAAAAAATAAGTAAAACTGATTTCTATTGATCTGTTGAAAGGAACAGTTAATGCATAAAAATTATTTTTTCTTCTTTTTAAACCACTTTTGCATGCTTACATCTGGTCATCTGAACAACTAATTTGAATATTTTGGTATTTGCACTAAATTTCCTTTTTTAAAACATGTATTTAGTACAGGGTCTACAGGGTTTTACTACACAGATTGGACTTGTAGCAATCCTCCTGTTTTCAGCCTCCCAAGCACTGGGATAACATGCCCAGACTCTGTTGCCGCCTCAGGGCAACCTGGAGGCAGGGCTGGTACAGCATGCCAGGGATCAAATCCCGGTCCCTGTGCCTGCCTAAGCAGTAAATTTCCATTTTTATATGCAATCTAACAATCATTGTTGAATTCCTATCATTTTGTTTAATTAAATTGTTCCTAATTTTGTAAACTGTTCATTCGCTTTATTAAAAAAACCTCATGTTGTACGGAGCACATATGTACAACTTTACCTGTTACACACACACACACACACGCACACACATGGCCCATCTCCAACATTCCTTCTACAAAGCAAGAATTCCACAGAGGGCTGGAGGACCGGGCGCAGGGACCGGTTTCTGATGCCCAGGAGCGCAAGGCCTTCCTTGCAGCGGAGCAGCTCCTTCCTCCGGGGGATGAGAGGATCAGAGAGGGCCGCGGAGGACAGGAGGACGCAAGCTTCCTGCCCCTCTCGGACCTCGAAAAAGCGCGTACCTGGCAGAACACGGGCGTGTGGAGCCGCGAGAAGCAGCGCAGGAGCTCCGCCGAGTCGCGGTAGTCGGCGGGCAGCTCGTCCACGCAGAGGCACCTGGAGTGCACGCGCTCGGAGGCCAGCAGGTTGACATCCATCCACTGCGCGAACAGCGCCGAGGGCCCCAGCCGCGTCCCCAGCAGCCCCAGCCGGGCCCTGGCAGCCGAGTCCTTCTTCATGTACTCCACGAAGCCGTAGCCCTTGGAGAGGCCAGTCGCCTCGCTGTAGACCAGGAAGCAGCGCTCGACGTTGCCGTAGGCGCGGACGAGCTCCTCGAACTCCTCCAGCGTGAGCGACGCAGGCAGCTTGGTGACGCACAGCAGTGCGTCCGTGGGCTGCAGCTGTACCACCAAGTCCTTGCCGCGGAAGGAAGACTGGTGGAACATCTCGATCGCGCTCCGCGCCTGGTCCCCATCCAGCAAGGTGACGAAGGCTGCAAGAGAAGGCGGCGAGGTCAAGGGCCTGCCAGGGTGGCGCCAGCCGCCAGCTTCCCACCAGGCCCACGGTGCGGCGCTTCTGTTCCACCTGCGACGCGGTCCACACACGTGCGCGTTCCCTAAGTGGTCCCGCGCCCCACCCTCGCCTACAGGTGCCGCTGAGTTTTAAACACCTGTTTCACGGGCTTTTCTTCTCCCAACGCGGTTCCCACCACTAAACGAACCCATAGCCAGTTGCTCACGTGGAAAGCACAGAAGTTATCTCAGGAGATCCAGCGTCAGAGCCACTCGATTCTGGGGGTGCAGGGGTTGGCAATCTTGGCCAACCACACACAGATTCGATTTCTTCCCTAACAACCTGTTATACAAAATTTCATGAAGATTTTATGAAAACTCACTAATATAAAAATGTGATTATGAAACCTTCCTTTCTTCCTGGCTCTGAAAGCCAGGAGCCCAACTGGTGAAAGTTCAAGCCTTGCGTGGCTCTGCCACAGGTGAACACAGAACATCACTCAGGAGGCTGAGGCAGGAGGGTCACAGAGTTCAAGGCCAGCCTGGGCTACAGAGTGAGTTCAAGGTCGCCCTGATTACACAGCCTGGACATCCACAGCTGCTTCTCAAAAAGCCACACAAAAGAAATGAAGGTACAGCAAAAGGCTATCAGTCACCCAGAGGAGACCAGTTCTTGCCAGTTAATTCATATATCCTTAAAATGACATCAACGAGAGGGCAAAAGTCCCCATGCCCAGGCACCTGGGTGCACTGTGTTGCTAAACAGTGTCCAAGGAAGAGATCACATGTTTCTTTGGAGCTTGGACAAAGAACTTAATTGAATCTTGATAAAATAACAACAATAAAAATCTGTCCTTTCCGCCTCATGAAGTTGCTCCAGCAAATTGCAAGAATTTTACCATCAAAGCTATGCAGCAGGTTCTAAATGAATCAAATGTGTAAGTATATCTGTTAGTAACTTAACTTCAACCATACCATCTTTTGTTATAAAAAAAAA